GTTGTGATTTGTGTTTGTTGGACTTATTGTTGGTAATTTTGGCCGATGCACCATATTTTGATTCAGTGGTAGTGAACAGTTTGTTGAATAAATCATTTATTAACTAACTACAACACACACGAATATACAAAATAATTTTATACAAGGAGAGTTGTTGATATATTTGTATCGTGTTGTGTCTCAATCGTCAACCATCGTGCTAATTGTTTCATTGTCGTCTACTAGCGTATTTAGTGTTGTAGGTGGCGAGTCCGACTGGCGTAAGTCCACTGCGGTGTAGGTGTCAAGCTGGCGTCGAAGTGAGAGCGTCAGAGTGCGACCGTAGTCGCTTGTTGGGGCAGAGCCCCTGAGGGAGAGTGAGAAGGAGATTGAAAAAACTCGAAAGAAATGAAGGAGCGGAGACTGCCCTCGCCGTTCCGGGACACCCTCTTTATACCCCTAAAAGAGGGCGGTATATATACCGGGGCGAGTAGGCGGTCCTTTGGAATGTCTTGTTGGAATGGTTTGTTAGCGGTACTTTCAAATTCCAAATATCGATCGTCAATGACTAATAGGACGTGTGGCGGTCAATATGCTCACTCCGAATCATGACCGGAGAGTCATGACACATACCTCGTGCCGTATCTCGCTGAGGGTTACACATCTTTCCTACCGCTAGATTCGGTCAATTACTATAAGTGCGAAACACCTAAAATGCCACGAGAATGCTTCACGTCACGGCACCCGTCGTGAAACTCCGAAAATTCACGCGATAAAAGCAACTTGCGTATTTTTTCCGTTCCTTCCTTATAACTCAAATTTTAACATTTCCAAATATGTAGATAAGTTGGGTTCAGTTTGTTAAGACCTATACGGTGATGCCTTCAAGTTTCAAAAGGACGCTATCTTGGATTGCGCCATGCACACGAGTTTCGTCTCAGAATAGTTGTTTGTATGTTACGCTATACAATCCTACTTTATCGTTCAGTGGAAAAATGAGTATCAAACCTCAACCCCGTATGCGCCACGTATTCGACTTCATCCACATGAGATTAATTGGATGTCTTTTTACCGGATTCCAGGATCGGGGATGAATTTAGCTCACACGGTCACGGCAGTTCTTCGTAAACAAAAATCGACCTACATCAAACCATGCATTGCTCGATGAGAAAGAAAAACAATGATTTCATAAACTCACTTCGCGACGAAAAAGCTGCATTTCACGAAAAAAAATCACCAGCAAAAATGTGCGAGACCAGGCACATTTCCTTCGCCGCCAAACAGCTCTGGTCACACTCCATCTATGTGCTGCGCATCCGAGTCAACGCGGCACGTTTTGAAGGAGAAACAGTTCAGAGAGTACAAAAAATCGGAATCTGGGTGTCCATGTTACCTGCGCACAGTTGCTACGATTCTTCGAGAAGGGCGTCGAGTCTCTGCGTGAGGAATGGCGAAGCCTGGCACAACACGGTAGTATCCATCTCTTCATCTGAGATGCCGAGTTGTTGCTGAAGCAACATTTATAATGCAACAACCTAATATTTCAATTTGCTTCGATAAATGACTAAGATACGGTACTCGCCATAAAAAATCGAAGAATCACGCGAAATTCCGGTTTTTTTTTCGTTAATCGGTTAAGTGCGTCTGTTGGTGAGTGTCGGAAATTCATAGCTCGGGCACCAGCGGTCATCATGTGTTGATTTCGAGATATGATATAGGAGGTGGAACGGGAACATATTTGGTGGAGGTCAGGAACTAATAACAGCTGTTAAGATCCGATAAGAGGCGCCAAAACGCCAATTTCACGATATCCATAACGTCCCAGCATTAGTCAACTTACAGTTATGCCAAAATACCAACGAAGTTCAAACGAGTAACGTGGAGTGGATTTATATTGCAGAGTGACCCTTTTCAAGAATGAAAATAAAAATTTCAGTGTTCCCAAAATGGAAGTTGGTGTTTACACTGAAAATCATTTGATATTGCACATTTTTCTTTTGAAGGCTTTTTCAGAAAACCCTATCATGCGAATTTCAAGAACTTTAGGTGAATTTATATTTTTGCAAAGCAGTGTATAAGTTTGACGTACTGACACACAAAGCAAGCACAACTCGCAGAAAGCAAGTTGGACTAATAGGTATCGCAACAAGATGTGTTGAAAAACAACTTTATTGTCTTCATGGAACTTCAAACTCGATGCTCTGCACACAAACGATTGCATTTTCGTGTAGCACGGATAATCATTCCACTTCCCCGGACTCTTAAAGCCTCCTTTGTACATCTGAAATGTGTAATAGCAGCACAAAATAAACAGTGAAAATGACCCAAGGGTAATCTAATATTTATTCAAGTAATGTATCAGAGCATTAGTGCGTGAAAACTAGAGCCGGAAGTCAGGGAATGTTGGCAAAAACAAGCAAATTTGAAGGGATTTTGGATAAGCACTTCATGGAAGGAAAGATAGCATACGGTCCCAAGCATGGTCAGCCGTATGTTTGCACTACTTAAAGAGTGAGTGGTATTTGATATCGCTAAAGGAACCCTTCGCGAAAAAAATCTTGCTTTTTTCAACATGCATACATGTCAGTTGTGATCACAGAGACATCATACAAGTTTCGCACACAGATTCAGTTTCCGAAGAGAAACAAACTTACAAAAACCACACTCTATGGACAATCGAAGGTAAGTGGCGCGGAGCCAAAGGCGGGGCATGGAAAGAAGTCCGCCTTGGGGCGGCTACGTATCAGGCAACGTAATGAAAGAATTGGGTTCAAGCGTGCCGTTTTTTTCGTCTTTTGCCGTCCAAGACCCATCTCGAAGCATCCCCGTCGCCAGCATTTGTGACAGATGTCCGGCGGTACTTTGAACGCGTAGCAGCCCTTTCGGTTTTTCGAATTTTTTACCAAAACAAATTTTTTTTTTTTTTTTTCGTTCTTATCGTGAACTATGTGTTCCAAGCCAGTGAGTTATGGGTGAAATAGAACCACGATTTTTCCAAGAAGGGGTTGCATTTTGGGAAGCAAGGTTATCAATAATGGGAACGGAGGTTGAAATGCATTGTGTTTGCCTGGATTGGACGGGTTTTTGGTGAAATTTTTACGAAAGTGCTGAGAATCAGGTAAAATTGATTGGTGGATTTTTATTTCACCATCCCCCCCCCGTCGACGACCGTTTGGAGAGGGAAGGGGGCGGAGTTGGGATGCGTCGACTGGTCCTAGAATCAAATACTTCTATATAAACAGCAACGAAAGTGGGGGTGGTATTCGGAGAAAGGGATCGTATTTGGTGGACCTTCTACCAATAAGACTGATGGTAATGGTGGTGGGGGTCGCACCGTGTAACCCCAAAACGGATGTGGTCGCAAAATTTCTGAAAAGTGGAACTGCTGATAGATCATTGGTTTAAGTTATTACGGTCTGAGAGATTGTGCGCTTGCTTCCCTATGCGACTTCCGAATTCTGTAGAGGGAGCTTCAACCACTCCGTATTTCCTACTAGGTCACTTATTTGCAAACTTTGGAGAGCAAAAACTTAGTGACAGGAAAAGAAAGAATAAAGTTAGAAGAATGTGAGCACCAGTGGAACCTTAAAGCAGTGTACGACTTCTGTTGGATGTCTACCTAATGCAAAACAAATTTTAGGTTGGAACGATTGAAATATTGCTTCCGCTTGTGTCTTTGTTTATCAGCTTAAGCACAATCTCTTAGGATGAGAGACTATACATTCAAAGAAGCGACTCATATTGCATACTTTTAAATCTTAGGCGCCACTGGCGGATTTCGTCGAGCCAAAAATCTTGCTTGGAGATGACTGATCAGAAATCATTGTCAGAGATTATATATTAAAGCAAAGAAAAACGGTCAACGAACCCGCTCATTGTGTGCAAAACATTGACCAGTAACTCTTAGTCTCTGATGCATTAAGCCATGGTTCCAAGACTGAGGTAAAGGATCTGGTGACGAAGATCGTGGATTTTGACCTCTGGCTTTATGACGGAGAATAAAGAAGCCAACTGCGGGAGTCGACACAGCCCCACAAAAAAATTGCAGAATCTAGTTGGTGCCACAGAAACAATTGGAAGTTCCTACGTGCGTCGTTAACTTCAATAGAAAAATGTCGGCATATTTGAGCAACCGGGCGAGCCAGCATACTGAATTGCCCCTTGGATCTCGCACCCATGACTTCAAAAAGAAAAAAATTTTTACTTCGGTTGACGCGCATTTTAAACCAAGAGATATTTCCAAAAATAAAACGCGAGAAGATGACCTTGGTTAGCGGAAGATGGACAGCTGAGGGTGACTTCGAAACCAGACATCCACGGAAACAAAGTCATGTTTTTATTGGGTTGATGCATAATTATTGCGGCTTTTTCCAACAGATTTTATTCAGCGAAAACTACAAAATTATTCAACAAAAAAATGTTTAGATAATACTGCCGGAGCGCCACCAAATATGTTCCGCATTTCTGTTCTCGTGATTTCACGATAGAAAAGTCAGCGATCTCGAAACGACTCACGGCTCCGTTTAACACTGGCCACCACCGCATTCTTCTTCTTCTTCTTCTCCCTAGCGTTAGTCCCGCGCAGTCGCAGGGTCCGCTGTCTTTATCAGTCGTCGCCACTTCGCTCTGTCTAGGGCATCTTCTGCTGTGGCCGTGATTTCACTTAGGTCCTTCTTGATTACGTCCTTCCACCTCTTCTTTGGGGCACCTCGCGGTCGCTTGCCTTGCGCTTCGAAGTCCATTGCCTTCCTTATTGGGTGGTCCTGTGGCCGCCTTAGCACGTGCCCATACCATCGCAGACGCTGTTCCCGTATCTTCAGCTGGACAGGGGCAGTCTGCATGACCGCTCTGACCTCCTCGTTCTGACCCTGTCCAGTCGCGTCCAACCACAGGCCCATCTCAGCATCCTCATCTCACGAGTGGCCTTCTCTTCGTCATTTCTGTTCCGGGGCCAGCACCAGGCTCCGATAGCATCGCAGGCCTCACCACTGCCCGATACACCTTTCCTTTCAGTGTTCTGGAGCACCTTCGATCGCAGAGGATCCCAGTGACTCCCTCCACTTCATCCAGGCCGCGTTGATTCGTGCCTTCACTGCCTGATCCACACTTCCGTCGGCTGCCAGATCGCTCCCGAGGTATCTGAAGTCCTCCACTCTTTCGATGATCTCTCCATGGCCGTCTACGATTAGCTCCAATCCCTCTTCAGAAGCTCAGGAACTTGGTCTTCTTGACATTCAGCCGAAGCCCACCTTCTGCCAGCACTTCCTGCCATTTCTGCACCTTGCCCTGTAGTTCTTCTCTGCTTTCCGCTATCAGGGCGATGTCGTCAGCGTAGAGGATTGTCTTTAATGGTCCTTCCATGAGGCCCCTCACCATGACATCTAGTGTAAGGAGGAAGAGGAACGGGCTCAGAGCTGACCCTTGGTGCACCCCGACCCGTGATGTCCACTTCCTTCGTAGGCGGTGGGGTGCGATATCTGCTCGCCCCATCGTACATGTTCTTCACTCAAGTGTCTCGGCACATCCGCTCCACGCCTTACAACAGTACTGCTCGCGAGAACGGGTCGAGCGCCTTTCTCCCATTCGACCAATGGTAGTACAAGTCCTTTGAGTAGTCCGATGCCGGGCTTTGGCCAGTCTGGACGAACTTTTCTGCGTCGTTTCGTCTATAACTCGTACAAGGCGTCCATTTCCGTGTTCTTCTTTGCCAGCGCTTGTATGCTTCCTTCTTCTGCTTCACGACTCGCTGGACCTCCTCGTTCCAGAACCACGCTGCCTTGTCTCCTCTGAATCCACCTCGCGTCTCGCCCAGTACCTCCTTGGCGCATCGTAGGATGATCTCAGCTGCATGCCCCAAGTCTGCTGCACTGGTCCCTCAGGATCTGGGAGACCAACTTCCATTATCCTTCGTTTGAGGTCGCTCTTCTCTGCTTGGTGCAACTTCCACCACCGGATTCTCCTCTCGGTTCTTACCCTTGTCTTCTTGGGGAGGTCTATGGCTATGTCTGCCAGGAGGGGCCTGTGCTGGGGAGCCAGTTCTTCGCCAGGGAGTACCTTGATATCCTTCACAGTTTTGAGGGATGATCTTCTTACCAGCACATGGTCGATTTCCGTCTGTCTCCCTCCACTGCTGTAGGTTACCTTCTGAGTCTCCCTTTTCGCGAAGAACGTGCTGCAGATTGCCAGATCGTGGGCTGTAGCCAGGTCCAGGACCCTCTCTCCCTCGGCGTTCCTCACTCCTATTCCTCTACCTCCGTGCACCCTTTCCAGGCCTCTTCTGTCACTGCCGACGTGACCATTCAGATCACCTGCTATGGTCAGGTAATCGCCTTCCGGAATCGATCTGATGGCTTCGTCAAGGCTCAGGTAGAACTCGTCCTTCTCACTCTCGGGGCATCCGGTCTGCGGTGCGTACACGGAGAGTATTGACCAGTACCCCTCCTTCGTGTCTATCCTCACAGCCATGATCCGATCGCTGATCCTGTTCACAGCGGAGACATAGTCCTTGAGCGACTCCGCTACCGCTATGGCCACACCGTTCCGCTTGGTGTCTTCCCATTGTAGTAGAGTTTGACACCTTCCCCGATTTCCCTGGCCTTAGCACCTTTCCATCGCGTCTCCTGAAGGCATAGGACTTGGATATTCCTGCGCGTCATCAGATCAGCAACCTCTCGGGACTTCCCAGTTAGCGATCCTACGTTCAGAGTCCCAATTCGAACTAGCTTCTTTGGCCGAGGCCGTTCACTCCTCGGTAGCCCTCGCATACTGACCACAGAACTCGGGCGGGGGTTCTGCGCGCCACTTCCGGGTGACGTCCTAGCTTTATCACTGATTCTTTTCGACTTTTAGACATGTTTGGTGTGACTGGGGTATTCATCAGCCGGCCTGTCAACCTGGGCCTGACGCTGGTACTAGAACCATTTTTGCAATTTTTGCAAGGCATGGTTTCGAGCCTCGGCAGGGATCGAACTCGCGGTTTTTCAGAGGTGCAGACATGAGTCTAACCTCTTAACCACTCGGCTATCCCTGCCTTACCAACGCATCCAGCTCATCCTAAAATTTGTTCGTTTGCCAGTTTTTCAACGTCTGATTGAATTGCTAGTCTGTAGGAGCTCCGCTCGGTAGATGTGGCGTTTTAAACTTCTTGAACGATCCTTCGTCTTGGGTTTTGCTAATTGCTCCCTCGCTGAGAAGTTTGATGAGATCGCGGAATGGCCCCGCCGCCTTCTAACATTTATAGAAGTAGTAAGCATGTGTGGTGAAGATGAGGACAATTTCCGATAAGCATTTCTGTTAATGGAAGAAAGAAGAATATTCTCATGAAAAAAACAGAAACTCAAACGCCAATCTTCTCGAGAAAAGAACGCGCGAAAAAAGCCGCAATTAATTAATTGTGCAATTAATTAATTATGCATCGACCTAACATATGGTGATATAGTATAGCAACGGTGTACCACGGAATGCTGATGTGAATATACAGTTACAGCTGAACTCTGCGTATAACAGCTCCACCACGTGGGCCGAGCTCCGCGTCGTCAAAGGGTAATTCGGCCAATGAAAAATTATGGCACGATAATGCAAGACCACATGTCGCGAAAATCTTGCAACAAGAAATCGAGGAGTTGGGCTGGGACGCTCTGCCTCTCGCGCCATATAGCCCAGGTCTGGCGCCGTCCGACTATCACTGACCCAGGTCAGCGCAACACTCCTTAGCAGCAAACCAATTCGATAACCGCGACGACGTCAAAATTTGAGTGCCCAACTTCTTCGAGTCGAACCAGAAAGAGTTCTACGCGGTAGGCATATGCTTGCGTAACGAAAGGTGATGAGCCTGTGACACAGGTGAAGGAGATGGTTCAGGTTGATGTGCTTCATTATTGTTTTAACAATGAAAATAATTGATGACCGAAAACGACATTTCAATCGTTCCAACCTAATAGAACAAATTGTTCAAGATACCTCCACGCAATACTCGTCGCCTGAGTAGTTATTCGGCTCATTCCATCTCCAGTTTGTATAGCTGAACGGTGCTCCGTCCACCCAAAACCAGTCATCCATCATCCATTCATATTTTCCTCCGATCCATGTCATAGCGTCATACCAGTTCCCTGGTATGTCTTTGACTAGGTCTGCAAGTAAACATTTTTCTGCTCGCTTAATTGAAAATGAGTGGTATCGAAGAAAGTGGTCAACCTTCATGTGAATCGTCCTGCGTTATTAGTTGTGATGTGACCAGTGTGATTATATTCCTTCACGCTGAACCCCTAATAAGTATTGAGCTTTCCCAAAACACAATGTCATGAGAAAGCAGATAGGGTGTATGTAGCTTACGCCACTAACGTTTTAGAAGTCTAGTTACTTATTTTTATATTTCTATTTCATATTCAATCGAAAACACTTTCTCATTTTTAACTTTGGGCTGATCCTGAGCGCTTACAGGATATGATTACATACCGAGCCCACACCGCCGTCATCCGCTACCGTTTAACAGAGCCCTGAGTGGGCAACGAACTATGCAGACCTCCACCGATCAAGACTTGGACGACTTCTATCGACTCTGCGCCCAAACTTTCTGTTTTGATAAAGGATCTCATCTGAGGCATCTCCAAAACATCCTGTTATTAGTTTTTCAGCAACATTAAATAATATTCCTTGAGTTGTCCAGTCTCACCGACTCCCACATATGACGCGCGCAGTGGCGTGCGGACTAAACTGGTACATAAAACGCTATGTCTGTCGGTTTCAGTGTGTCACGAAATTCATAGCACGCGTCGCAGCAGTCGTCAGGAGCTGAGTTCGGGATTTGGCTGATGGTGGGACGCGTAACTCCATATCTCGGAGTCTGATTAGGCGGGGCTGCGGACTTGGCGTGTAGCCAGCCGCACTTGACAGTCGTCGCGCCGTATCTCCAGCTGATTTTGCTGACGCTGGTATTTACCGAGAAATGCAGCAGTATTTTACTATCTTCTGGTATTTTTCTAATACTATTCAAACGACTGCGGGCATCCCGCGTCCCGAAAAGGTGAGTC